CGGAGATGAGAGGAATGCGGCTTTTCTTTTGTCGTGGGTGGGTCTGATAAGGGGTTCACTGTGATGGGTGGAACTGATCAATCTGCCAACCCTTCTCAAACTGCCGAATGATATCCAAAATTTGCCATTTTCAGCATTTTGCCACATGCTGTCGACTGGCAACGACATCACATTTACTCAGGAAACGACCAATCACGGCTTGGCATGCGAACGTCACATGAGCCGTGATCGGTTGTTATCTGACCCTCCAGCAAGCACGTGTGATCTCATTTCCAGTCGACAGCAAGTGGCAAAATGTGTATTTAAAGGTGTCGATTGTACATGAAAAATAGTGACCTGATCAAGTTCATTAGTGACAAAATAGTCACTTGTTACTGCACAAAATGGCCAATTAAGTATCACATAAACCTTTCGGGGACAGCGGTTACTACAGTGGACAGCTTATCAGGTTACAGGTTATCATTATTTGTGCATGAAAGGGTTCAAATAGTGTCTCCCTTTCTCGCTTTAGCTAACGACGCTCCCATCACCGGAGAGATTCATATCTGGGTGAAAGAATGCAAGAGCCTGCCCTTAATCAGAGCCACCATCGACCCTTACGTGAAATGGTACGCACTGCACAAGTTGGAAATCATTAGCGCTGATGTCCAAATGTATTGACTCCTTTCTGGTGCCGTTTCCAGCTTTGTGCTGCCCGACACTAGCCGCAAGAGTCGTCAGAAGACGCGTGTGCTGAGGAGGACGGCGGATCCCGTGTTCAACCACACCATGGTATACGACGGCATCAGAGAAATGGACCTCGCCGAGGCCTGTGTGGAACTCAGCGTCTGGGACCGGGACAAGCTGGCCAGCAGCCTGCTGGGCGGACTCAGGCTCGGAGCTGGCACGGGTACTGCAGTTGAACACAATCGAGTACTTAGAGGCGAGGTTATTTTGATGAACAAAAACTACCAACGTAACTTAAACTAAAATTGTAAAAACTATTTTGTGAACGAAATAAAACTAAAATTAAAAACGCTTGTCAAAAAAAACGAACACTAACTGAAACTACATTTTGCTATTTACCATGCTGACAAAATGGCGTCAGATTTCCGGGGTTTTCACTTCAGGAAAACGATTACTTTGTTGAATGTACGAAATACCAAATATTTTTTTCATGCTTTTTTAAAAATTTATTTTGTTTAATTACTTGTGACATAAAAAATATTTCATTTAAGATTTTCTAAATTTACTTTAGGGCGGCCCAGTGGTTAGCACATAGACCTCACAGTGCAGAGGTCGTAGGTTTGATCCCGGCGCCGGCCTTCCTGTGTGGACTTTGCATGTTCTCCCCGGGCCTGCATGGGTTTTCTCCGGGTACCCGGTTTCCTCCCACATTCCAAAAACACGCATGGCAGGCTGATTGAACACTCTAAATTGTCCCCAGGTGTGTGTGTGTGAGGGGGTATGGTTGTTCATCTCTGTGTGCCCTGCGATTGGCTGGCAACCGGTTCAAGGTGTCTCCCGCCTACTGCCCGAAGATGGCTGGGATAGGCTCCAGCACCCTCCACGACCATTGTGAGGATAAAATGGATGGATGGATTGACCTTTAACCATGCATTTGGAAGTCCATGTTTTTAACCCCCTGGGACAAACACACGCAAGACAGTCAAGGGCGTGTTTCCATCGGTCGTCGGTGAAATGGGCGTCCGTTAGTGACGGACTAAAAGCTCTGTTGGCACACCCACAGACGAAAATCCACCTCCATGCTTCGTCCGACATTTTTTTTGGGAAGTCTGTCCTCATTCGTCAGAAAAACGGGCATCCGTCAGTGACGGATTGATGGAATGCCCACATCTGGAAGTTATTTGTATTCTTCATGTTGTTATTTGTTGTTACCCTGTCACAGTAGTAATAATGGCGGTAGTAGTACTTATACTAGTCGTAGTTTGTGGTTAGTATTGTCTTTCGTGACCACCTCCAGTATGTATTGTGAAGAATGGAAACAACAGATCTTTTAACTGTACTGAATCATGAAATTCATCTTACTATAAAGATTCAATCTCTCTTCAGGAAGGAGTTACGGCTCGGCGGTGGACTGGATGGACTCCACTCCTGAGGAGGTGGCGCTGTGGGCGCGCATGGCGGCGTCACCCAATGAATGGGCAGAGGCCGTGTTGCCGTTGCGTATGATGAGCTCGGCCAAAACGGCCTTCAGATAAGTTGACGTCGACATTTTCCTTGCAATACAGCTTTCAAAAGTAACATTTGTTAATCCTTCAACCAAAAGCCATCACGACTTCTTGATCGATCATTTTTCAACGAGCCAAAGATGAACAAACGAGAACCAAGGGAGCTTAAAAAAAATGTCAAACACAACTCCCTCATTTTAATGTGTTAAAGTCATTCACTCCCAACAAGAGGCCCATTTGTCGAACACGTGTTAAATCGTTGAATGAATGTGTCATTGTCGCCTGTGTATTACTGCAACTTTCACCTTGGACACGCACTGATGCAACTCTTGCATGAAAGCATTCTTTCAACTGCGTGGCCGTAGCCCGGGATGAAGTCCCACTTTTTGTGTATGCAAATGGCTAACCAGTTGTGCAAAGCGGCAAACAAATACAGTTCACATTGTAAATGTTGTAGTAACCGCGACTCTGGATGGATGTCTTCTGCTTTCATGACACAGCAGAGCAAAGACTCCTGAAGCTTCTTTCAGCTACAAGTACAGAGACATAAACCAAACTGGAAAACCATGATTTTCTGGCCTAACACTGTTCATTATTTTAAGGGATTTAAAATAAATAAACAGACGAAGAAACAAGAAAAGTTTTGCTTGTAAAAATCAGCACAAGATAGAATAAACCATAAAAAGTGTATGTTACTGAAAACTGTTTTTTGGAAAACAACCCAAACTTGTACAGTTCATATAAATAATTTGGGAGCGGGGGGGGTTTTAAAAGTTGTATGTTACTTGGAATTATTTATTTTAGAAAATAACCAAACGTTGTTTGTCTCATAGAATCATTTATTCAAAGTTGCAAGTCAACAAACAAAGGTTTTACATTAAATTACGTTGAAAAACTGAACTAAAGTTCAACACTACTTAGATTTGGTAAAAATAAATAAATTGTACGTGACGTTTTTTTTTTTAAGTTGTACTTCACTAAGAGTAGTTCATTTATTTTTCAAAGGAACAAAACCTATGTTAGAATAATTTACAGGAAAAAAACAAAAGTGGGATATTACTTTAATTTGAAGATTGAACACAAGTTGTACATGAGAATAATTTCCCCAATTTTTTTTAAAAAATATAACAAATTTTTTGGCAAAAGCTTGATCGAATATTTTTGTAAAAATAATTAACGAATATAATCCTAAAGTTTCAAACCTTTGTACTTTTACCCCTCTGGAGCTTGGTTAACATTTTCCCTGGCTATAGCCCTGTTTACAAGCTATCCAACTTCTGTAGCTCATTGTAACATGACTACACATTACTGTATCGCTTTAATATATTGATGGATGTATTGGTTACTGTGAAGCATGTACTGTATATAATACAATACATCTATATTGATATGGCGATTTTACAACAGCTGTAGCTGGAACAGAAATTCAGAACCTTTTGCAATTTACTAAAAATACTCGACACTCTTGGCATTTCTTCAAAACACTTTTTACAATCGCAGTATTTTCACTTCAATGGCTGAATTTTGACTGCATGCATGTAATGAACTGTTTCCACATGAATAAAACTTCAAGTGACTTTAATTTCTACATATATATTAGTGATTCTGTACTGTCATCACTTCCTATATGATACCAACAATATTTTTGTTGATGTTCACACTAAACTACAGAGACGGACAACACATTTCTTCAATTTGCGTCTGTTAAAGTTTGCATTTACAAATAAGGTGCATTTGAATAACGTGTCCTAGGGAAAAAAAATAAGCTAAACATGGTCAATATTCAGAAAAAAGAATTTAGAATCTAAAATGGGACAAGATGACGATATTAATGATGACCGCCACCACAAGGTCACTGTAGGGTCTCCTGGATACACCTGAGGAATGAAAAAATATACACATCCATTAGAATCATCCATACATCCATTTTCTAATCCGCTTATCCTCACGAGGGTCGCGGATGTACTGGAGCGTTATCCCAGCTGTCTTCGGGCAGTCGGCGGCACACACTCTGAACTGGTTGCCAGCCAATCACAGGGCACACAGAGACGAACAACCATCCGCGCTCACACACACACCTGGGGACAATTTAGAGTGTTCAATCAGCCTACCATGCATGTTTTTGGAATGTGGGAGGAAACTGGAGTACCCAGAGAAAACCCACTCAGGCCCGGGGAGAACATGCAAACTCCACACAGGAAGGCCGGTGCCAGAATCGAACCCTGCATCTTTGCACTGTGAGGCGGACGTGCTAAGCAGTTGTCCACTATACTTACTATGTAAGGGCCAAATATGGAAAATACGCAAGGAATTTAGTTTCCCAGTTTCAACCCGTCCAGAGGAACGTAAACAGTGACCAAGAGAGGGAGACAGAACGAAAAGCCGACATTTTAGATGTGCAAGGAAAAGAATAGGGAACAAATTCAGTTACTTATGACTTCATACCAATGGCTTTTTTTTTCTAAATAAAGACACATACATTCTTACCATAAGAAGCTGTGTTAGTTTGAAAATCTGAAAAGAAAAACCAAAAAAGACATGAAATCAAACACAATGTGTGCATGACTGAACTGAATTCCCTTTTAGTTTGATTCATTTCCGAGGGTGAATAAAAAGACGTTCTATTCCAGTCGCCATTTGTGGCCAACTTCACTTTTTTTTTTTTTTTTTTTTAAATTAGCCTGCCGCACATTCCCTGACAGTATTCCCTCACTATTTAATTTACTTGACTGCTGTCACATGCATAATAATAATTTAGCACTTGATCACCAATCATGGCAAGCTGGAATTTAGACTTTTTTTTAAAAATATGTTTACCCGCTTAGCAATATGTTGACCATCGAAAGGTGAAGTGAGGCCTTCCATCCATTTTTCTGTCTGTGATTCTCAGTGGAAAAAGTTTGGTCATCCTTGGTTTATATGGAGTGTGTGTGTGTGTGTGTGTGTGTGTGTGTGTGTGTGTGTGTGTGTGTGTGTGTGTGTGTGTGTGTGTGCGCGTGCATGCGCAGGCGAGTGGGAGGTTTTTGAAGCAGCACTTTTGGGAGCATGCAACAGCGAGGAAATGACTCGCATCAATCAAAGAAGGTGGCATTAGCGCCTCCCCGGGTGTCGCACGGCTCCGACACCGCCCCAA